CAATCCTGTTAAATCAGGAAATTAAAAGGATGATTTTTCTTTTTTTTTTTTTTTTTTTTAAAGTAAATATCTGTGGATGAGTTTAGGGGTATGGAATATGATTAAGATTAGACTTTCTCTTCAGTTTTCTTTCCCCAGATTCAAACCTTATCAAAATATATTACAGATTTGAGGCTGTAGCAAGGAAAAAAAATTAATCTCTGTCATACCTGAAGTTCACAGACTGCACGCTTCATATTAATGGCATAAAGAGTACCTTCATTTTTTGTACTCACAGCAGTACATGATTTGAAATGGTTACTGCCTTTCAAGTAATTGCATACATTGAAACAAATAGCAAAGATTAGCAACTTAACCATCCAAATTGCAAATTAGCTGGATGGGACTACCAGATCTTTTATCTTTACTTCTAAGAAATTATCTTTGTGAACAGGAAAGATTAACAAACCAAGGAAAGGGAAAGAATCAAAATAACCCATTTCTGATATAAGGCATGAAATTTTTTACCTAATATCCAACTTGGATCATTCCTCATGCCCTTTGAAGTAGACTGGCTCTGCAATTTACTTATATCACAAAAGAGAAAGGTAACAAAGGAGGTGGTTATGCAGTGAAACGTGAAAAACAACATAGTTCATAGGTGAAAATAAATCCAAATGATATTGCAAAGCGATTTTTCACTGCTTGTTTTCAGAAGGGTAGTAGCAACCTGAACACACAAAAATTGACTTTTTGATGCAACAAGGTCTGCACCAGGGACAGTATGATTACACACACATTACACAAATTACTTTTCTAAGGACAGACTTCAAACAATTCACTGGTAGAAATCCTACTCAGAAGTAGAAGCATTACCTGAGCTTTACAGCCTGATGAGAACTGGAGACAAATATATCTAACCTGAAGCTGTCTGAACTGTCACTTCAGGCATCTTCAACCACGGTGAACATCAACCTTCTCCAAAGAACTACTTCAAGAATTTTTAGATTGATTTTAAGAGGCAATTACACAAAAAAATGAAAAAATACAGCAATGAGTATATTTGGGTGAAGCTTTATAATTTGTAAAACATAAAAATGAACACATTATCTGGCAGACCTCTAAGTAAGCCTGTGGAGAAGGACATCCAGGGACTGGCAAGGGAAGGCAAAGAAGCCCAATGCCTTTGAACTTCTATCTAAAGCCAGCGAAGGGAGCAATATTCTCATCTACAAACATATTATTCCCAGTATGGACTCGACTATGGCACTCTGTCCTAAATCAGAATCACTCACACTTGTTGCAGAACCCATCAGTTTTGAGTCATGGTCACCTGGTTTTACCTTAAAGATGTACTACCACTGGAGAGCAAACATTTCTCAAATTATGGTTGGGTTTTGTTTCAAAAGATTCTGGAACTACTATCTAAAGTATTTATATTAGAAAGTGCTATGGCCCAACAGAAATAAGTGCTTCATAACTTCTGAAAACGCAGCATCTCAGCTACACACTTCTTGGGATTTGTGGGGGATAGCTGCAACTACTTCTAGTCTCACCCCAGCAGTTGAGAGTTATCAAATATGCTCTTGGAACCCATTCTCTCAGTTTCATTCAAAAGAAGCACAGTTTGAGCACTCTGTGAGCCAAAGCAGTACGAGTGGCAATGATGGGGGTATATCTTCCTGTTTTTCTTTTTCCAAAAAGTGCACTTGTAAAAAACTAAGATGACACACCTTGTAGGTAAAACTGTAATAGAAAAAAAATCTGCAAGAGCATAAAATAGCAATTGGAGATTGGAAGAGAAAGAGATAGTAGAGAGGGCAAGAGGGGGGAGAATCTGCAGAAGAAATCTTATTAAAGCACTGGGCGGTGCTAGGGAGCACGGAGTGGAAAGCAGCAGGCTGCTCGTGTGAATGCTAGTCATTATAAAAGCAAATAGTGTTGCAAATGCATGGAGGACCCTCACCTGGAGGCAAATTCTGCCTTGTGAAGGGCAAAAGCAAAAGGATTAATTTCTTCCGCTTACTAATGTGGCTGTTTTCTAGGCTCTGGGTATAGGCAATATGAACAACTGGCAAAAGAAAAGCCCTCTAGACTTGCAGATGTGTGTGAACAAAAGAGTGAAAGCTACAGCAGATAAGAAAAATGAATACAAAGGATGGATGGGTCTTAAGAGTTGATCCAATTTCTGCCACTACTGTCCTTGAAAACTTCCTGAGGAATGAGCTAGCATCCATTTTAGTTGGGCTATGCTATCAAGGAGGGCAGCACACTGCAAGAAGTGGATAATGAAATGAAGGCACAGTTTTCCTGCATATTTGAGCCCGAGGAAAGCAAAGCTATAACCCCTACTTAACAACAGGAAAAATGACTTGGAGAATTGGCCCCACCCCCTGGAAGTGCTCAAGGCCAGGTTGGATGGGGCCGTGGGCTCTGATCTGGTGAGCAGCAATCATCCCATGTCAGGGGTTGGAACTGAGTGCACTTCTATGTTCTTCCCAGCCAAAGTCATTCTGTGATTCTGTGATTTTCTGAGAACTGGAAAACAGACAAAGGCATGAATTGAGTAGAGTCTTCTCTGATTTCTGGCCACCCTTCTAAGGATAGCAGGAATGAAAGCACCGCAAAATGAGGTTTTTTTGAAGATGAGCAGAGTACAAGAATATAGGCTACCGTATACTTATTCAAAATAAGGTGCTTAAAAAAAAGGAAGAAAAGCTGAGAATTAAATGGCAACAATGAAAGGAAGTGCCTGGAGGAGCTAGGGTTGCTCAAAATGAAGACTAGCCAACACATGACAAATATTTTCAGTTGACTGCAATTCAAAAGCACATACATCAGAATTGTGGAAAATTTGAGATCCCACTTTATTTTTTTTAACCTTATTTTTCTCTGTTCTGACATAGTATTACAGCTCTTAATTTAGTCTTATTACTTTAAATTTGTCAGAAAGAGCCCAAATGTACAGAAAGACTCATCTCATTGTCATGCCATACCTTAACGTCCTCATTAAGCCATTAGTTGAGGTATATCGTGACTCACCAACAGTATTTCATCCGGGTGAACACAATAATTCTAATAGCTGTCTGCTAATTAGCAGGTTTTTGAGATAAAGATGCAGTTGAATAGCTTGCATCATCTAATACCCCAAATTAATAATGCTTCAGTAGCAAATAATAACATGTTAGAGATTGGTATTGTTGCTTTTTGGTACAGTACAAAATAGATTAAAATGAACTCAGCCTGTTTTTCTGCAAAGCCTAAGACCATTTCAAAATGGTGAAGATCTCTAGCTTGGCTCTAACACACAACACCCTAGAAAGCTCCTTACAAAGCTAGAAAAATTGCTCCTAAAACAAGATTCAAACATTTCTAGATTACAATTTTATGAATAAAATTAATTAACCAACAATTCATTACATTCTAAAAGCTTCATCTGACCATAATGATCCTTGTTTGCAGCCCAAACAGTATTTGGTAATTGCAGAATGATGGAGAAATGTGGATATTTTTTGATTACAGTTCATTACATAAGATTACAAGGAAGAATTTGTCTTTGAATCATAATGAAAACTTAATTGACACCACTATGCTATAATATTTCAAATGATTAAATTTCACTCTCTGTCTTAATCAGTTTTATATTAGAAAGAGATTTTAACAAGATAATGCTGTGAACATAATTTTATTCCTTTGTAAAACTGCTGGCTGAATCTCGCAAGTAATTAAAACTCCAGCCATCTTCAAAATAAAACAAATGCAATTCCAAATTTAATATTCTCTAATACTGTATAGTATAAATTTATTTTATTTTCCTCCACTGTCTTTAATCAAAATTTGTTTTTTTTTTTTTCTTTCCTCTTTCCCTAATAAATGGTTTAAAAATTATACTTGCAAGATCGCTTCAGAAAGAATAAATGCCAGACACCAGAATCATGCCTCAGGACATAAGTTAAACTCAGGCAACAACATGGGTAGAATTACAAGAGTAAATTACTTTTCTGTGCAGTATGTCAACAATCCCCCAAGACTGCTGTCTCAAGATCTTTCACTCCATTCACAGGTGGTCTCAGCTGAAGGCACTGAGAGCTCTTTCAGATATATAGTATTCCTCAAGTAGGCACCATGAGTTCACATTTATTTCAGAAGCATATCTCCACGCTGTATTTAAACATGTAACAGCCCAAGATAAGCTCTTGTAGGGATTAATAGGATGTATTGCACTACTGCAGTGCTGCTCATCCTTTGTACTGACACATCAGGCACCCCCAAGTTCTAAAGCGGTAGGAGCACCTTTAGAACTAAAATACCTGGAGGAAAAGAAACAGAGCCACTCTCTTAGGCAATGTCACACAGCTGTGATTCAGCCAGCCCAAATACAGGCAACTGCTTTGTTTTCACCTGACCTCTTTCAGGAATATGCTCTATTAGAATCACATAAACACCAGCACCACAGGTTTAATTAAGAGTAACCCCTCAAATCACAGAGCAGGCTATTTGTTGAAAGGTCCAGCTGGCTTGTGTGCTAGAGATACAGTCAGGAGAAATGCAAAATCCAGCCTTATGTCAAAAATCAAATTGCCAAACGTGGAAGCAAGAAATTGAGAAAAATAAGTAGTTATTTGCACTACCTCATATGGATCACTAAACTGTAATGCCCTGTGTTAAAACCTATCAAAGCTGTTGCTAAGATGATTAAAACTACACAGTCACAATATTTTGATCCAGATTTCAAACTATATAAAAATTCAAGGATAATTGGAACCATGGTTTCAGTATAGGCTTATCACTTACCAGAAGTTAAAGGAGCACAGACTACAAAACCAATGGAGTACATTTTTCTTATTTCTTAATTAGAATCTGCCATTTTCAAGAGTGTTCCGATTTTTGTTCCTGAAAAATCCATTTCCACAGAGCATTTAAAAATGGTATATAAAATAAAAACCTCACCTTCCATTCATCAATGAAAACAAATTAGAAGAATTTAAGATGCTACATATGAAAAATGCAAGTATACAGTATTATGGCTGAAAAGATTCTCTATTTGCCTCACAATGGTCCAGCTACAATCTGAATGTCAAAGAACATCCCCTTCACAGAATGGCACAGAGAATTTTCTACCTGTAAAGGACATTAAGAGGTATGGAGAAATGCATTGCATTTGCAATAAATCTAGGTGGCATATTAATTATCCCACTCCCCACACACAGAATCAATTTCATGGCAATTTTGAGTACAGCTTTGTGAACATTAACAGGAGTAAAACAATGAAGTACAGACACCTTGTATTAAAAAAAGTTTTATACTTACATATAGTTTTGTTTCAATAACATACAGTTATAAAAATTCAGTTCAAAACTCAGTCTTAAACATAGGAATCCCAGGAGCACAGACTTAGAGACTTCATAATTAGCTCCAAGTTTTTCCCTTAAAACTGAGAGAGCATTTTACAGGAAGTTGGGCTGGTAATATCTGCCTGTTTCCAGAAAAGTCAGTCCCATCTGTCTTGTGATCTTCCCTCTCTTGCATGTAAGATGCTGTTTTGCCTTGAACTGTATATCAACAAGGAAATCTAGCATTGCTTGACCAGCACGAGTGACCAGGGCAAGGAGCTAAGCCAGTGACAGTCTGGTTTAAGAAAGCTAAAATAAAAGCTACATAAGAAGGGCAATAATTCTCTTCAAGTCTAGATTCTCACACCAGGGTTGGACTAGATAAATACCAGAATATTGGCACAGAAAGGGCAGAAATTCGTCATCAGGGCCCAATGAGAGAAAGAGAGAGGGAGAGGGAGAGAACACTTATTTGCTCAGCAGCTAATCACAGAATCCTCTTAACTGCATTATGAAAGCATATGTCTAGTGGTCCAAGAAGAAAAGATAACAGTCTCTGCTGCCTACAACACATCACAACAAATATCACATTGCATATCATGGTTTATTCCCTCTGAAATATCAAGCTCTTTGATGGATGAAAAGTTATTTTGCTTGTTATTGCCAGATCTTGATTTCTCCAGCCCAATCAGAAGTCGCAAGGAGTGATGGCAATACTGGGTGAAATACTGCACTCACACAAGCTTCTCTATGTGCCGACAAAGTACGAACAATCCTAGAAGTATGGTAGTTGTAAAAAAACACTTTGCCATCTGAACTTCCTGTCACCAAAAGTGTTCCATCCGGAGAAAATTCACAGCCCACTGCAAATCCTTCCACCTGTTAAAAGAAAAATCAATAATGGTGTAACTCCTGATTCTGATCAGGGAAGTCAACGGTGGTTCACTGAAGAATGAATGTAATACAAAAAAATGCATATTTAAATAAATACGCACTAAGGACTTGTCTAGGTTTCTATTAAGGCACATCCATACCATAAACTTATTTAATCAGGCTACTAAGTATCCAGAAAGCCTTTTAATAACTGTTTTCTTCAGAGTGTATATAATTCAAAATTGCACATAGGAAAGCAAAGGAAGGCAATTATTACCAATCACTGATTTATCAACAAGCCCTATTAGCAGACATATTAAAATGCAGATACTTTGCTCTCTGTCTCACTTCTGGACTTGGATAATATCATTCTGGTGAAAGAAAATACCTTATGCCCTTCATATCTCTTCTTTTTGTTGATTCGGTAAGGTCGCTGGGAGGAAAACAACGCCATATAGTTCCCATTTGTCTGAGCAACAAATGTAGACTCTCTTGGGTGCAGAGCCAGACTTGGACAAGTGTAACGCTCCTGAAAATAATTATTAAGTTTTGTTGCATGAAATAAGGCATTTGTTCAAATGAACTAGGTTATTTTTTTCGACAAATTTGAAAGACCATAAAGTCATCTCCATAAAGAAACTTATTACAATCCACAGAAAGTCTGACACAAAGTCAAATATTAAATCAAATATCGACCCCAATTTCCTAGAAAATGATCAAAATCCCACCTTCCTTTGCAGTAGCATAATTAAACGGCAGAACCTCTGAAGGATAGTACACAAAGTTACTGAGACACCTTCTTTCAGCTCAAGGATAACTGAAGTTCAAACGTGGAAGCAAATCCCCCTCATACATACCTCTTCCCACATGGTAGGGTGGGAAAAGCATGAATGATCTTGTTATGGGGTTTGGAAGAGATGAACTGGGAGGACAGTTCTGGATATTGCCAGGAATTGGGCACAGCAATCAAACAGCATTAGGTGTTGTACCTGGTTGACAAAGAACTGCATGCTTTGTGGGGGAAACTGAGTCTAACTGGAAGGGGTCAAACAGTGTAGAAGAGGGGAAAAAAACTGTCCAGTTCACAGATGGTGGGCTGTGTGTATTTGCTATTTGTTTCTTTGGTAGTGGATAGGGAGGTTGTTATGAAAGACAGCCTCCTCTGATTCCAAACCTGATTGCTCTGTACATTATTTAGTGTTTTTTGTTTGCTTTTTTTTTTAATTGCCGATTCAGGATGATGAAATATTTAATAGCAGACAAAGACACAACTGTGCAACTGTGGAAATTAAACACGAAACAATCCCATTTGATCACCTGCTACATGTCTTTGTCAGTAGAGAACTGTTCATTCCAGCCAAAAGGCATCTGTATACAATCCGATCATATTATATTACATAAGATATTAGACTTGGGTTTTCAGAAATGATCCAGGGAGTTGGAATTATCTATTAACTTCCTTGATAATCTCCTTTGAAGGTGTCAGCTTTTCTAGACAATTTAGTCCATTAAATATCTCGCTTGGACAGATTACTGAAATAGTGTACCTGCATTGATAAAAGTAAATTTTGCCTCTGTGATTATGTTACACAACATATCAGTATGCATGTATCAGGTCGCTGTTATTATGCAAATATTAAATTTAATTTGTCAATAGTCTTTATTCCATCTAATTAAAAATGTATCATTTTGCTATCCTAGGAGAAGTGTCAGAAAAGAAACGTGGTGCTACAGCAACTACAATCATTGGTAAGCGAGAATAGCACTGCAATGTTTTTGCCTAAATGTGGCTTAGATGTTAGTGAACTAGCAATGAAAACAAACGCTTTAACACAAGGAGATCTATCAGTTTTCCAGGTGGTTTTTAAAGATTAAGTAAATGTTGTTAAAGTATGAAAATGAACACCCTGCAACTAACAGGGTAATTATGATTCATACAATGATATGAAAAAAATGAAAGTTTTGCTTTTGTTCTAAAAGATTGACAACCATGAAAAAATATATAATGACCCAGAAGATAATAAGTTGTTAATCTTACATGAAAAATCTGATTGGAAATTTTTGCAGCACTTTGGAAGTCCCATGCAATGATGGTACGATCAGCTGAGTCTCGGCTTACTGCATCTGTGCTTGTAAGAAATTCTTTTCCTTCAGGAAGAAAGAGTATATCCAAAGTCTGTTGTACTGCAGCTTTGTACACTCTTGTCACCTAGTGAACAAGACAGTTTGTTATTTTGAGATTAGAAGAGCATGATAATACGTCCTTGGTATTAATACTCATGTCCAGTCAATTATATATATTTTTAATACGTAAAAAAATATTTTATTTTTAAATATTGAAGTGCTAGCATATCAAGTAGTATGGTAATATATGCAAATAGTTCAAAAACCGGAAAATAACATGAGATAGAAAAGAAAGCAGTTTGCATAATTTATACATTATATTTATATATACATAAGATTCTTAAGGAATTAGAGTTGGATCCAAAAAGAGCTGTAGATGCTACAGAGCTGTGGAGATGAGCCACACAAGCTCCCTTCTATTTTACAAACTCGGTGTGCTCTGAGGATTAGTTTGGGGGATTCTTCTTCCAGGAAATTTTACAAGTTTATCTTTTGGTCTTCTTGTTCTCAAAATCTTCAGCTAGTTACAGAGGCAGGGAAAGGAAAGCAACTATGTCAGCAGGAATTCACAACTTAAAGCACCAGTCAGGAAAGTGAATATTGTTGTTGATCAGTCTAGATTTAATTGTAAATCACTGTTTATGACAGGGAATTCAGGACACTGTCCCAGTCCCATGCTGCTGTGTAAGGAAGCATGCACACCTAGTAGGTACATACAGATGTGCTCCAAAGGTCCTGTTTTTCTCCTTTGTAGAAAAATAACCCAGTTCACCAAGGATTCAACCTGACACCCAAGAAAGAAACCCAAGCAGAGTTTGCTATTCTGAAGTGCTGCCAGAGATGGGGATACTGGTGACAGCAATGCTGATGACAAGAAGGTTCAGTGCTTTAAGGACTCGGCAAGCATCCTGCCTTTTTCTGTAGGGAATCAATCCCACGCCTCCTACCAAGGTTCTGGCACAAGGCAGCCTGTGCTGCTCCTAAAACAAAGGTACTTGAAGCCATTCTGCAGAGAACAGTGGGCAGAGGAAAAAGAGTTGTCAATGCTTAGAAGTACAACTGGGCTCTGGAGTAAATAGTGTGCCTCATGCAACAGCTCCAATTGTGTAATTAATTCACATGAGCAATCTCTAGAGAAGTTTGCGATATGAAAGCAAATACTAGAGTTCTCAAATCATTTTCCCAAATTAAAATACCTTTTAAGTATTTCCCTTGTGTTTCCCTGTTGCCTTCTCCTGTTATCTCAGCGTCAATAGGCTAACTGTCCTAAGAACAAGTCAAGATCCTCTTTTAGGCTTATACCAAGGGCTGGATGCCTGCAGAAATGGATCCTCAGCCACAGGATTCTGAATATTTCAACATCCTGTGAAGAAGATCTAAAGAACTGCAAAAGATTTTCAACTATTCTAAGGAATATATGAATAATTTTAATTTCCTTTCTTTCCAACTTTCTTCATGCAATTCTGCATCTGTGTTGTCTACTTTGAATCTTGAAAAATCAATACCTTTGATTTCCTTTTCTGATTTACCTTCACTGAAGAGAGACTTCAAGGCAAATGGCCAGATCAAAGTAGCTCATCTGTGAATACGCTGATCTGTAAAAGTAGGACACTGGAAGACTCTTCGTTATTAACATCTAAAACTTTCTTTCCAAAACAGCTAAAACATAACAACCTCCATTTCCAACACAGTGTTCAGAGGTTAGTTCTTCTTGCAACCTCACAGAATTACCAGCTGAGCAGAGACACTGTTTGCAGTATTGCATTGAAATGGTTCTCAATTTTGTGAGGCATTCCAGTGCCTGCCTAATGTCTGTAACATAGCATATGGCTTCTGAGTTCAGGGGCCCAGAACTCTTATAGATACCATTAGAACAGATATTTTTAGAAAAAAGAATAATCAGGAATTGCAATGAAATAGTCTAGATTATAACTCTGTTCTTTAACTAACTAATAGAAGAAAAATAACTTACAGCATCAAAGAGCACAAGAACTTCTCAATTCCTCGCCTCAAGCTCTTAATCTATGGGAGTCTGGAAATGTTCAGAACAAGCTGATCCTACTGTAGGGTAGAGAGACACTAGATGATCTTCAGAGGTCCTTCCAGTTCTGCTTCCTGTGATCTCAGCACGCATAGGTATGGTAGCAAGTACTCCAAGTGATTTTCTTAGACTCCGTGAAATGCAGTTTGGGAACATAACGTTTGAAGAGCCTTGGTCATGTATCCTATACACACTCCAATAACATCAATAAGATGTAAACTTGCAGACAAAATATCAGCACGTTTTTCAGCAATATGCCTGCATTTTTTAAGATAGAGAATATACAACTGTGCTACTGCACGAGTCAATTTTTCATCCTAGGAATTTGCATAATATGCAAAGCAATTAAACTTTGTAAAGCCAAAACTGATATTTGCATATTTATAGCTTCCACTTTGTCTATGGAGAAATCACCATGCATAGCTATTTCTTCACTGAGTTATAAAAGGAAGCCCACAGTTCATTAGTAAAGTAGAAAATCAAGCTATTTCGTAGGACCCAAAAAAAAAAAAAGTTAAAAAGCAAATAACACTCAATTTATAATGGCTGCCTGTAATATGAAATGGAAAGCCATACAGAATCTTGACAGCTGTAGAAACTTCAGAAGAACTGAAATACATGTAAGGAAATTGTCTCAGATCTAAAGAAGGAAGATTTCGGTTGGATATAAGGAAAAAGTCTTCTACAGTGAGAGTGGTAAAGCACTGGGACAGACTACCCAGAGATGTGGTCCTCGGGACTTTCAAAGCCAGCTTTGACCAGGCTCTGAGCAACTTGGTCTAACTGTGGATGTCCCTGTTCACTGCAGGGGAGTTGGACTATCGGCAACCTTTAACGGTCCCTTTCAACTTGAAGGATTGTAGGATTCTATGGCAATGTGGAAATACTTTCTAAGTTTTGGTGAAATTCAGTATGGCTCATGTATGAACTGCCATCACCAATTCAAACATTTTAATTGCTAACTATTAAGCATACCTGCTTGTCTGCTAGTCAATAAGATTTCCAAACAAATTACTCTGCGCATCCTAGCTCTATACTAGGAAAATATCATTAGAAAAATTAGTATAAAAGACATTTTTTTTTACTTTTGATATGTACCTCAGAAAAACCACGCTGTTTAATCATCAGAACATGTAGTAAAAACTGACTCAGAGAACAATAAATCAATACTTTGAATAGCAGATGGGAACTTGGAATACATATTTATATTTATATTCCCCCGTAAAGACGGCTTTCAGAAATAACTAATTGTAAACAACCAAGCTCTGAAGAGTACTCATGATGAAACCTTCTTTGTTCTACCTTAGCCAATAATTCATGACATGCCTGAGGAATTTGCTTCAGTTTTCCTACCCTGCTGACTTTAGATCGTTAATAACAAACTTCTGGTCTTTTCCTATTTTCAGATTTATTGCCCATGAGCATTGGAAAGCCACAATCCACTAGTTCAAACTATGCACTTCATGGACATAAAATAAATCCTTTTAAAAGGAAGACCTAATAGGTTCTAGTGTCAACACAAGTTGACATAATAATAAGGCTTCTTTACAACGGCAACAGTTCCTGGCTGCAGGCATTCAACTAGAAAGGTAATTTAGGCAAATTAAATCATTTTTAAGTAGATTCTTATGGCTCCAGGGATTCGAGAAGCATGCTGTGATGCTGAATTCAAGCTATATATTTTGTACAGATATTCCATAATACTTCTCTGCATAAAATATATGTAGTGCTTGTTACTTTGCTTCTCAGGAAGCTCAAGGCCTCCAGATGAGCACCTCAGCCCATGAGGCCATCCCAGTTCTGTGTCTGTCACCCAGGACCTCCCCTGCACCTCACCTTCCTCAAATCCCTCAAGCTTTAGGCAAGAAAGAAATGTGCCTGCACAGACATTCTCTGAGAATTAGGAGATAAGATCTCATAAATGATCTAAGCTGACAAGGCAGATGACTAAACTTTGCTCTGTAGTTCCACACTCACAACAAAATGACAACAGTGTGACAAACACAGCTTATGTTTTTGATTTCCATCTAAAAGCTACAACAGCTGTTTTAATCAAAACAGCTGACAGTATCATAGACAAGAAGTAATTTCATGTTGTCTTAAAATATTTTAACATAAGAATGGTATATAGCATAAAAGAGGTGGGCCTCCATGAAAACCTGTATTTCAACAAGGCAAGTTCAAGGTCCTACACCCGGTTCAGGACAATCCCAAATATGATTTCAAGCTGGATAAGGAATAGATAGAGAATAATTCTGCCAATTACGTGCATTTGCAGCCCAGAAAGCTAATCAAATCCTGAGTTACACCAAAAGAGGTGTAGCTAACAAAGCAAGAGAGGTGATTATTTCCCTCCGTTCTCATGAGACCCTACCTGAAGAACTGCACTCAGGTCTGGAGCGTGCAGCATAGATGTGGATCTCTTAGAGTAGGTGTAGAGGAGGGGCATGAGAATGATCAGATCAGAGGGCTAGAGCATCTCTGCTGAGAAAAAAAATGGCTGAGAAAGCCTAGAGAAGGCACCAGAGAGACCTTAGTGCAGTCTTTCAGTACTTAAAATGGGCCTACCAGTAAGATGGGAGGATTTTTCATCAGGGAGCACAGTAATAGGACAAGGAGTAATGTCTTATACTAAATAGTGGTAGATTTAGGTAAAATATAAGGAAGAAATTCTCCATGATGAGTGGTGAAGCATTAGAAAAAGCTGCTCAGAGAAGTTGCAGATTCCCCATCTGTGGAAGTGTTCAGGGTAGGCGATACCCTGCCCATGGCAGAGGGTTGGAATTGGGTGGTCTTTAAAATCCCTTCAAACCCAAACCATTCTCTGATTCTGTGATTTCTCATTATGTAATTTGAGAAAAATATACTGCTTTTGTATTTAAGTTTTTGTGTTGTTTGCAACAATAACAACAACAAAAAAAAACCACTAAGGAATTTTCTCTGACAGTGAGAGAATAACTTTAGTTTTCTAAGGCATCGAAAAAATCACCCTATTTTAATTACACTGTTCTTCATAATACCACAGTACATGACAATGTACTGGT